ATGAAAACAAAAAAGAATGTTCTGTATGTTGACACAGGTGGTTCAATGAGTGGAACCAGGATTAAAGTGATGTTGCAAGGGTGGAACAGTTCTGTAGAGGATCAGGTATGTAAGTATGGAATACTCTAAGGAATTTGGTCAGAAGCCATCAAGACTTAAAAAAAAAATTAAAATACATTCTCTTCTTTTTTCTTCATGGTGTAATTCTCAAGGGGTTGCATTCATCATTTAATCAGCAGCCATTCTGGTTGTGGTAATGCGTTCCTCCAGAAAATATCCAGTTTTCCCACATGAAGGGTTTTTTGGGTTAGCACTCCCTCACCTCGAAAATTCCAGTTTTGCTTCATTCTTTCTTTCAACCCAGGTGAAGGAGGGTTGGGGATAAACTAGTTGCCCCATACAGTTACAATGTAGCTTTTCTGTTGGTCGATATGTTTTGCTTCTTTTTCAGGAAGTGTGTGACGTATTGTCCAGAATATCAGTTATTCAAGCCTTTGACATATTCTCAGTAGTGGATGTTCTGGAAGGTGTAAGACAGAAGCTACATGTAAATGTAAGAATTCAAAGTACTATAATATTGTGTAATAAACTGGAAAAAATGTACATTACTTGAGTGTCAATCAGGCCCTCCAGGGGCAATAGGACTACATGTATGTCCCTAATCTGATTAATTTTTCAAAACCTGTTTATCGTTGTATTGAGGAGGAGGAAGCTATGTCGCTGTCAGTATTTTTCTATTGTAATTGTGCTTTTTGTTTTAGCTGTCACCCATCTTTGGGTCATTTGTCACCATTTCTGCCGTCCTACATGTATGTTACTTTTTCAAGGCCAAGTTGCTTTTTGGAATTATACCCTAATAGAGCCTGATCGTTAATCTGTTTAGCATGAAAGTAGTTATAATTGAGAAGACTATTTTTACAATGGCCTACTGGAGACAGGATTGGCATTTTATGTGGTCATCCAAGCCACTCAAAGGTTCAGCCTTTGGCAGGGCAAAGACAATACCTTCATTTCTCAGTTATTTTAAGACCCTGTTTGGCCCCAGAAATCAAACCCACGACCTCCTACCCTACATCTGCAGTCAAGTGCTCTACTGACTGGGATATAATCCTGTATTTAATCCAGTACATGTATGTATTTACTGATGGTAAGCAATAGACTTTAGAGAAAGCAAGGTATAACTACATTATTGCATGTAGTATAGGCTGTCTGGGTTAGTTTAAGAGAATAAAATTGTTACTTACACTGTGAATAAAAGCCTTTGGTAATATGTTGCCACTGAAATTGTATTTAATGGATGAAATTCGTACGAATTTTGTGGTTTTAACAAACTTACATCCCTGTAAGTCATAATTCTTTTCTAGTTTTTATAGCAGTCATTATTAATTTAATGTTATGCTTTTTTAGACTGAGGAAAATGATGATGAAATACAGCATCTAAGGATGATAATAGTGGACTCAGTTGCCGCTGTGGTGTCCCCCATTCTGGGTGGTCAACAAATTCATGGTAATAACATTCTATGATAGAAATAAATCTTTTTTGGCTGTACCTTTATGTAGGTAGCCCATTGTGCCCAAGTTATTCAGTCTTGACTACTAACAAACAATTTTACAGTTAGAACCCACAAGTTTTACAAGAACTTCCAAGTTTTAAAAAACTTATTAGGCTAAAATTTACCAGTTAGTCAACTCCCATATGCAAAAACCTATTAAGCCTAAAATTTGAAACAGATAGATTACTTATTTTAAAAAATAATTTTTAAGTATAGTGGTAATGTTATTTTCTGAAGGAGGGCGTCAATATTCGTGTGTTATTATCATAGTCATTTTTACGTAGAACACATGTTTGGCACACTATTATGCTACCACTGTCCCTACCTGCACTCTTGCTACTGCCACTGCAACCGATTTCACTACCACACCACCACCACTACAGTCCTTAGTCTCTATCTATTGTCATTCTGTCTTATTATTTCAGGTCATTCCTTGATGGTAAACCTTTCTAGAATCTTAAAGTCCCTGGCTGTCGAGCATTCAGTTGCAGTTGTGGTAAGTATGACAGTGTGTTAGATCAGTTTTGTGTTAAAAATGAGAAAAACTTAACACGTATCTCCCTACCTTAAATTATTATTTTTAAGATTTTATTTTGTCAGGCTTGAAGGTAAGCCCAATTATTCAGTGACCTGCAAACACATTTTCCTCGAGTGTTGCAATTTGTTTCATCAACAGAGGATTCCTTTAATGAAATATTTTATTATCCACTCTCCTTGGGGCTTTTCAGGGATAAGCGCGAGAGCACAGTACGAAAGACTGACAGACCGGCGCGCTTTCAACACAGCTGTACTTTAAATGGGGCAGCAATGGATATGACAAGAAAGGATAAAACCAAGAGAGGATAAAACCATTCTTTGTTTGTCTCTCCGCTTGAATTATCCTTAGGGAATAGAAATCGTTATTCATCTGACCAGAAAATCCCAAAGAGTCCGGGCAACTTTTAATTCCGAGTCCGTTTTTATTAATACGTCACTTTGTACGTTTCGTTTTTGGTCATGTACTGTCAGCTAACCTACAGTACATTTATCTAATTAATACTAGTAACCGGTATTTTTTTTTGTGGTAGCTTGTGTTGACACTCCAATTTCACAATGACAGCAAAGTTTCGTGAATAAATGCCCAATAGTTTATTTTTTGCAATGATCTGAAATTTCAGGATTCCTTTATAAAGCCGTGCTATCTTTTTAACAAATGCTCTTCAGTACCCCCTCCCCGACCCTTTACAATTTTCAAACTCTACATGTAGATAGATAGATAGATAGATAGACAGACAGACAGACAGACAGACAGACAGACAGACAGACAGACAGACAGACAGACAGGTACATGTATATTATGGATACACGCGTTCAACGTTGTAAGTGGAATGGGGGGAGGGGTTGGGCAAACTTTTGTCCATGATTATAGAATTGAAACAGAATTACAATATTTATATAGACTAGGTGATTAGGTTGACTGATTCACTGTCTACAAATTCTGTTTTCACAAAGATCGACTGGGAATCTGGGTGAACACTCTAATCAAAATCTGTCTTTTGTGCCATTTTTATTTAGATCACTAACAATGTCGTGACTGACTCCTCCAAGTCTTCATTTTCGACGAAACCTGCTCTGGGACCAACCTGGGCTCATGTACCAACTACCAGATTGTTCATACAAAGAAGTCCAACATCCCAGGTGGACGGTACAGAAAGGATTGCTACGGTAATCAAGTCTTCAAGACAGGTACTACCCTTCATTGTTTTTACTCTCTTTAAAATCGGATCACGTAAAAAAAAAAGCACGCGAAATGGCGTCTAGGGGACGAATTGTACCGGTTCGAAAATCATACACCATGTACATACAATAATGATAATGATTATGACGAAAAATATTTTATTATCCTCTACCATTATGGGTCTCATCAAGGACATAGTCAAAATGGAACATAGTAAAGTTAAGAATGCTGAATCGCAACGGGCTAGGTAGAAAGCGAACCAGGGTGATTTCGGCTCCTCTACGCAGTACAACATGAATAGAAAAACCCTTAGGTTTATTTTGGCTGTTTCTACCCATACTGCACTTCAACTGCCCCAGTCCCCACTGCTCCCGTGCCGCAGAAATATTTCATTTCCGGCTAATTCGTATCCACTCAAACGCTGGAAATTCCATTTAATTTACAAGAATGGCCGTGGATTTGAACGCAGGACATACCAAGAACAAATCCAGCTAGCGGTCAGGGTAGGACTTCCAATACTCTGGGCCGCCGGATTACTGAAAGTCCAGCGCTCTGACTTCTCGGCGACCCTGCCTAATAATAAACTATGGGGCGCCATCACAGGGAAAGTGTTGCTCATTAGTTTTAATGTTGATCTGGATTTCGTGCAAAGTCCCCAGTTAGAGGCAGTCAGTTCTTCTTGTTCGAGGTTAAATTAGTTTTAGGAAGTGAAAGAATTTTTCCCTACTGCAAGGTTTTCGGTTGAAAGAATTACGTCAATGTAATCTTCTGCCTTTGGTTTGTTGCAGAAATTACATGTCTCCTGTGCCTTTTACATACACAGTAGTGGGCTTCACAGTCAAAGGCCAGTTAGTCAGAACTGAACACCTTCAAACTTGGTAGTGACACTGAGTCTACTGAAAAGCGGGGTGTGATTTGATTATGCGGTGCGTTTTGAGGGTAGCTAGAGAATATCAAGACCATCCCAGAGTTAGTTGTTCTCGTGCGCTGTTGGTTTGTTCAGAATCGTTACTCATTGCCGGTCGTCCTAGCAAAGCTGGATGGGGTCAGCAGTTCCCATCAGTGTTTAGGTGATGGTGTTTGTTTCAGTCCAAGAGTATGGATCGTTATTACTTTACGAGGAATAGGAGATGGCGCACTGAAGCAAACCATAGTAAAGCTTGGATAAAAGAACATTGATTGATTCTGGTAAACGCATCATGGTGTTGCTCCGATCTTTGCTTAACAGTTCTTTTTACGAGGATCGAGGAATGTAACATGCAATGTTCGGATTTTCTCTTTGTAACAAAGAACTCACGAATGCCCCGAGACATAATGAATCTCTAAATCTTCGAGATTCTTGCCAGATTTCAAGGCTTTTTAATATGTTTTAGTTTCCTTTCGTGAAGCTGAACCTTACGGAAAAACATTGAGTCACTATTCACAAGCTTACATGATTGATCCTGTAGTGATTTGAAGCGCTCTTGTAATAAAGTATTTTCAACATAGAAATATAAACGCTGTTTTTCTTAACTTATAAAGCCATTTAATTTAAAGTGCTCTCGCACCATGTTGACCGTGTTTAGCAACCTACAGTACTGTGGGTATTAATGGTAATAATCAAATGCTCTCATATACATGCAGCACTTTATCGCCGTTTTTCGTAGTACTTTGTGGTAAATAATCACGCAATGGCAAATCAAATGAAATTGAACCTTAGTTTAATGCCTTGGTACATGTATTACAAAACATCCGTAGCTTCAGTCCTTCAACCTGCGGCACATTCAATATAATTTGGTCTGTTCCTTTATTCGTTCGCTGATGCAAGCGTCTGAAAATAAAATCCTTTGAACCAATCTAAACTCGATTCACAAACAAACGCCCTTGTCTGCATTACAAGAAAGATTGCTGCCGTACACTTCCCACGTTTTACGTTATTGTTCCGTTATTTTGCCAGTTGTCTATCGCCTAAACTAGGAACTAGATTCCTCCTGAAAACGGAAAATTTTCTTTCAGGCAAATCCTAATTACGTTGGCTAGTATATGCGACAAAGGACAGCTATTCTTTCAGTGGCGCGGTTTGTATCGCCCTAATTTGCGAAACTATAGTTTAACATGTTTTCTAGTCACTAGTAACTAACATTTGCCCTATGTAGACGTCACATTTTGACAAAGCAGCGTTACATTAATGCTAGTGCCTGGTCCTCCTCCTTGTGATCCTGGTGTGGTAACACTTGAGGCCCAGGCGGGAAATGTGTCCAGACCAAACATGGACACACCATAGGTGTTTATACAAATCACTAACACTATCACGGATAGGATATTCATTCCAAATCCAGCTTTAGCCTGAAAATGATAGGAGACAAAAAAAATTCGTTTACTGCTACGCTGCCCGAGCAAAACCTAGAATCGGCAAATCTTGCGTGAAACTTGCTACATTAGAATACAGAGAGAATACAGTATGAGTACCAAACCTATCCATCCTCACTTCGGATCGGTAACAATTGTTTCTAAAGTACTGAGATAGTTCTAGGGAGAGGCCCTAGAGCTTGGGGGCCCAAAACTATTCTATGAAGAAAGTAAACCCGGGTGTGATGTTTTTCAATTTTTAGCTGATTGCATTTCATGCCAGATTCGCTACTGTACTGACAAGGTACGTTATGTAGTGGAGTAAGTGAGATGGTGTAGTTTTGTGTTACCAGACGAACTATGTTATATTATGTTCATTAACAAAGTACCCAGACCTCGCAATACTTAGCTGACTTACACTGTACTGCAGAAAGACGAAGAAAAAGAACACTGAAATTGTACCAAAGCGCAGTACATACCATGTCCTTGACTTTGAGATATCCACCAGCAAACACAATAGCATTTGGTGGAGTAGCGACCGGTAACATAAAGGCGAATGAACACGAGATGGTAGCAGGTAGCATGAGGTACCATGGATGAACACGAATGTGCTCTCCCTGAGGGGAAAAATGAAGAAAGGAGAGTCAAACCTCTATGTGCGACCACCTTTTCAATAGGAAACTACTTATCCAGAACACCAGTATTTCGCTGTTCAAAGCTCTATAGTTGGAAGCTCCTGTGAGTGACCGCGATCACTTTTTGGATTGCTTAACCTTTTGTAAGATACCACTTGTAGGAGGCATGATGGCCGAGAGGTTGACACCTGGACGTCCAGGCTCAAGCGCTTGAGTCGAGTTGTTTTCTTAGACAAGTAACTTTGCTCCATCTTATCTCATCACTCAGGTGTATAAATGGGTGCCCACGACATACTGCTGGGGGTAACCCTGCGATGGACTAGCATCCAGGGGGGAATAGAAATATTTCTAGTCGCTTTATGCTACGAAAACCAGGATAATCCACCGCTTGATGGGCGACTCGAAAGCAGACGTTCCCCCCTCTACCTTACTAAATTATCACTTGACATATTATCTGTTCTCCATGTTGGATGTATATACTGTGCTACTCAGAGTATACAAGAAACGTTTAGTGACAACATGACACTGACGTAGTTAACTAAGGAATTGTATATGCGATCAATTCCCTTTGAATAAGCAGATGTGTCCGACTTGATCCTTAAAAAGACTCCCCGGAAAACGATCGCCAGCCTTAGGCGAGACCACTTTTAAAAGCATTTTGGAGGGTGGTCGCGAGTTCGAAAATTGACCTCTTAAAATCTAGAATTGCGCTTCCTCTCTCCAAGTAGTACTAACCAAGAAGGCCAATATCGGTAAAAATATTGTCGCGGTTGCTACATTCGACGTAAATTCAGTGAAAGTGGTGATCATTACACAAATACAGATTACGATCGCAACTGGTGGGATGGCGTCGAGGTGTTTCAACTGTGTTCCTACCCATTCTGACAGGCCGGACTCCTGAAAACAAGTCAAAATCAAAACCATTAAATTCCAAAATTCCAGACTTATTACTTATTGTTCAACTTTAAAGTGCTGCTGAATGGAAGAGGGTTCATTTGAGTTATAACTAACACCATAGGACTTCGTCCAGAGTCTCATAAGGTTAAGACTATGGCACAGGTTCTCAGAACTAACTTTAAGTGAAAGACTTAGATAAAGCCGGAGTGTATCACAGATTAGTTCGACCGCCTTCCCCTGTCTGGTAACTTGGCCCACCATCGCTCCATCTGTCTCATCACATTCTGCGCTATATCTTTTTCCTCACGAAGAAAAAAAAACTTTTTAAAGTGGTGGGTGAATGAAGATTTTCACCTTGGAGCAGATTATTCATCTAAGAGTGAATATTAGTTGTATAAAACAGTTTTATCGCATATGAGCAACTTCGTTGCCAGGGTCCTCTCCTACTCGTCCGTCGCAGCGAGGGAGAGAGGGGTCGTGTAGCAGCTGCTCGGAAGAGAAGCCAAACAATACTAAAACAATTGGAAGAATGACATGTCATTGTTTAGAGAGAGAGAGAGCAAACTGTCTCTTTGTCTCTCGCTCCTGGGCTCGAGTAGGAGAGGGTCCTGGGAACGAGGTTGGCATATACCTACCTTGCAGGCCTCTGCCAGAGCAAATCCACTACCAAGCAGAATAATAAGATGCCATGGAAACTTCTTAGACATGGTTCTGAACTCCAATAGACCGGATGGCAGCTTGTTCACTGTAGAAAACATACCTGCACGAATAAACCTTATAAATCCGGACCAAACCTGAAATTTTATTCCTTATACTGTATCGAGTACTGGTTGTAGTAAAAAACACCCTGTACACCAATGGGCCCAGTTGTTCGAAGGCCGATTAGCGCTTAACTTGGGGTTAAATTTAACCCTGGTTTCTTTTTCTTGTGCTCAAAAGCATTTTCTTGGATAATTTTCTCTGTTATTTTTAGAGCTTCCAATCATCAACTTGTAGTAAGACAAATAGAATTAAAACTGAAATGTTTTTTAAGCTTTCAAATCTGAATTCAAATCTCGCATTAACCTTGGGTTATCTTAGCCCAGCTTTGAACAACTCGGCTATTAACAAACAGCATCACGATAATTCCTGTTCCCTAATATGGATGACACTTACACATCATATGGATGACCATAGCATCATAAAAAACATCATAAAATGAATTACTTCATTAGAAAATCAGGAACCATCCATATGGGCGTTCCTAAATACTCCGGCGGAAGTCTCAAGTTTATCATGCCTTATCACTGTCTACCTGTACCGAGTATATCGATTATATGTATTCATTGGTTCAAATATCTAATTTAAATCACTTACAACCACATATGACCAGGTGTATTCATTATTTCTAGTATGAGCCATGTCCATATAAACTTCTTCGGACTTATGAAGTAATGTCGCCCTCCCGCACATTGTGTCTCTTGGCGGGAAGCTGCGTTTGGTTGGCTTTCAATCTTTTAGAAAGTTAGAAAGTAAATTCAAAAGTTGCTTCGACTCAACATTCAGCATTTTGTCATTTTTTCATTACCTGATCCATCAAGAGCAAAGGTTCTTGGTCTTTGTGAAGGGAATACAAACAGTGAGAACGCTACCGTCATCGCTGCTGTGGCGTCTCTAACGTACCTGGAAAAAAGAGCAAGTTAAATTTATGACGGTGTCACGTTGATGTTATCAATAAAGCAAGTAGCGCACACTTACCCTTTTTTGAATGCTATGGACCATCCGTCCATAAATTTGGGTTCACGAAACAGCCACAGCAACGCCAACAGGATGAAATGACCAAGGACGGCTTTCTCAGCAAACCTAATTAGAAATACAAGAATCGAAACAAATAAAGAGAAATTCTAAAGGGGTTCTATCCTTGGACACGGATATGATGTGCGGATAAGTACATTATACAAGTTTTTGTAATCATATACAAGATTTGTTAATCTTACGACATTGTTCCTAGTGCTCTGTACTGATTCTCCAAAAGCTCTCTGACGACCTTTGTTTGCTGGTTGTCTCTGTTCCGTGATCTTCGCTCCTTGGAGACATACTTGCGAAAACATTTACGGAAGCTAAATGGAGAGGAAAAAGAGCATGTTGAGTGTATATCTTTACAAGTGGTAGAGGGTGAGAAAATATCTCTGCGTGTTAGGTTTTACTGAGAAGTTTTATAAAGCCTTCCAAGAAAAAAATAGCCTGGCTTTCTCTTGGTTTTCTTCCAGGATTATCAGTTCGGTTTTGAGGTTCTTATGTAGGTGAAATAGAACGTTGCTGGTTCATCCATAGACGCCACCTAATAGGAAAATCACTCTTACAGGCGCTACAAACTATGACTTACTTGAATCCTAGGAATAATAGCTGAATCCAGATCCAAGCAACAAACAGAAGGATAACCATTTGAGGAAATGAGTAACCAAACCACATCGCAAAGCTGAAGCCGGGACTCTCGGGGAAAAGACTGCAAAACATTAGTGTCAATTGATTATAAAAGTGATTTACTGAAACGTTTTTCGAAATTGAACTAAACGGGTTGTAAGTTTTCAGAAACGCTTAGAGGCAATTAAAAGAAGTTATCCGAGTTACCTCATAAACAACATTTTCAGTTGCTGTAGATTATGAATCGACCGAAAACCTCCAAACTTTTTTACGAGCGTTTAGGAAGAGGCTAGAATTGAACTGTGCTTGATATGATTTTGGAGCACTTTGAAATGATGAACTTTGTTCTTAGACACCAATATTGCCAGTAAAAGTCAAGAAAATACAACACCCGATCAAACTGCGCAAGACCAGAGCATTTTCTGCAGCAGGAAAGCCCGGCCTTTGTCTATATTGCGCATGAGCAGGTAATTGTCGTAGGCAGTTATCTTATCTCTAGAGCAATCAATACTGTATTTTAAAGGTATTAGTAATTTCTTACAACAGAGGAGGTTCCTGCAAAAAATACAGTTGATTATACAGACTTCTTTAATGAGGGTCTGGGTGGGGTAGAAATGTCAGTTGTCAGTAGTTAAAATTTTGGCCATTTGTCAGTTGTCAATTGAATTTTAGGTCATTTGTCAGTTGTCGGTTAAATGATTGTTAATAATTAACTATGGAACTTATTTGTTCATTTTTGATGCGAAATTTTTCAAAAAAAGCATATATAATGTAAATTAAACACTGAATTCGAAAACTAAGATTACCCATATAAACGCACATTTCATCAAATTGTATGACGAAAAGAGTGTCTTAAAAATGGGTTTTGTAGAAAATAAAGGACAACCAGGTCCTTTGTCATTTGTCAGTAAAACCCTTGCCACGGCAAATGTTAGTTGTCAGTTAAATTTTAGGCGATTTGTCAGTTGTCACTTAACCCCATCCAGACCCTCACTTTAATTAACACAGTACCGATATTATTTTCTTTGAGAAAAATTACGGCCTACTGATGTAAAATGACTTACTGGTTAACCTGTCCACCGAACACAAGATTTGGACCGGTTCCCGTCAGCGTGGCAGTACCACCAACATTAGCAGCGTAAGCAACAGCTAACATCATGCCTTTGCAAAATCTGTTGTAATAATGAGTCTCGGCGTTCTGAAAATGAAATCCTCTCAAATTTAATGTCAGACATTTCGGGGTTATTCTCGTGAATAATTATATGGTTGAACCACCCCACCCGGATGAAGGTGAGGTAGTCATAGCCAATAAAATCAGGACGTTTTCTGTTGATATTGCAGCTCTAATTAACCATCAACTGATGGTACACCGTAATGTAGCCACTCTGTTTCCAATCGCGACTTCTGAACTTCTGTAGAGGTTGTTAGCCTGTTCCAGGCTCTCGCGGTCAGTGCGGATGAGCGAAAAAAGGGAGTGAGCGATTAACTGCGAGAAGAGAGAAGGAGGAGATTCTATAAGCATTTTTTCACATACCTAAATCAGCTCACTTCCCCCCCCAACATACTGAAAAACCCTTTCTCGTGTAAAAATGTCAAAACGTCAAAAGGTGCATTGTAGGCGGGTTTCAGAGCTCGACATGTTTGTTAAACGCTGTGGGCGCGAAGGCAAATGATCTACGTAAGTGTAGAGGTAAATTGTCGCAATTGACCAATCATGGAGTATATCAAGGGCTGGTATACAGGAATGGCTCCGCTTTCCTCACTGTCTTGGAGACTGGAACAGGCTATATCGATTGTTAAAGGCTAGCTGGACTTAAGTCACATTCTTGATGACGATCCAGAATGTCCAGCAGGCTTATTTCAAGATACCAGTTAGAAGAGTCAAAGTGAGTAGGCAGCCTCGCATCATTATTCAAGGCGATGCATGCATGTACCCATCAACGAGGACCTACCTCTATATCACTATCTTCTTGAAAAGAATTTACTGATGATCTAAAAACAAAACCAAATGGAGTAACTTTAAGGCATTCGATACTGTCATTAGCATAACATGATAAAATACACTTCAGTCAACAAATAGAGCAACTTTAAGGCGTCGATACTCTCATTGGCCTAGCATGATAAAACAGAGATACACTCCAGTCAGAAACTTCAGTTATTCGTACTTTGTGAACGTTGAGCCCAAAATGACTTATGACATGGCACATATTGTTTGGCTTATATCTACTGAGCACCTTTTCCCTTGGTTAGCAAGTTAGTGGGCGTGAAAAGTTATTCCCGAAACCGTAAGCACCTTTCTCCTTTTTCGACGGGGCCACCAGCATCTTTGCTTTCAGAGGTCTTTCCACCCTCGCTGGTCATTTCAGGATCCTGAGCTGCTGCTGTCGGCTTCTCAGTATCTTCCTTTTCCTGATTCTCATTTATTTCGGCAAGTTCAAAGGATGCGTTCGCCGGAATGGCCTGTTGCAGCTTACAATTCAAGAGAAGTACAATGTATTTTATACAACTGACATGATTTTAGGTGACGCACTTCTGGGAAGACGTAACTCCTCACTTCAGGTTACGAAAGCAACCGGATTATTGTTGGGGGGAAAGCATTTTTTCCATTGCAGAAGCAAAAACGCCAATCTTTCAGATTTATCACAAAGTATATTTGTAGTAAGAGCCTTTTAAAATTCCAAGCCACAGCTACTTAGGAAAACTTTCCTGCTAGTACTGTTGTCATGGTAAACTATTTGGTTCATGCTCTCAGTGGATTTGTCTCGAACGTCCTTGCTAAAGAATTACCATTCAACTACTTGAGAAGTAAATCTAAAGTTTTTGAATATTTCTTTTCTCCTCTAAGTCCGGTATGGTTTCCTCGTGAATGCTACCGACAATCCCTGTCATCGCAAGGATCATTTAAAAGAAAGTTCAGCGATGGTAGAGATATATCGAAACAACTCTTCAATGGTCTTTTTAATGGTAGCAATCATTCTTACAACAGTTTAAACTGATTTCAAAGTGATCGCTGCATATGGGGCGAATTTAAAATGGTACCAGGGGCTACGGCCCCGCCCTCTTCTGTCTGAAATCAGTGGAGTCTTTGGGATGCTTTCAGGGATCGTTTGACTATACACTAATATCGCATGTTACTAACTGGCAAGTCCGCTGGCTCCCTTTACAGATTTTCTGGTTCCGCGCCTGTCATGATACTGGATTTTTATATAGAATATGCTAAATAGTCTTTTGTCTTCCGGCTGTTTTTCTGATGACAGAGCAAACTGGTGCCGCCTGCTTTCTTACGTTTTCTTACCTCATCCGCCTGAATGTTCTCGCCAAAGTCCTTCTTCTGCAATCTATTCTTTAAACTTTTGTTTCTAATTTCTCTCAATACTGCCTCGACAATAGGCACCATCATGGCGGTAGTGGCAGTATTGCTTATCCACATGGAAAGAAACGCTGTTGTCAACATTACGCCGAGCATTAACCTGTAACATGGACAAAAGAAGAGTTGATTTTAACATTTCAAAAGTAAATAAAAGCTATCTTCACATATGAACCTGATAGTTCCCCCATATGAACGTCCGAGGTCCACAACTTCCTTTCCAGATTTTCTAATTCTCTGCTCTACTACCCCTCGATAAAATCGTGATAGTAAGAAATAACTTCAGGAATACTCATAAGTAGGTTGAGCATGATCGTCCGGGTGAACGTGGTCTTGAATAGGACTGTTGTTGACAGTGACTGAGGTCTGGACAACCTGTGCAGTAGTCAATTTCAGAGTTTTCTGAAGATAACTACCGCTCAGGTTGTGGAAACATCAGTCACTGTCAACAACAGTCCTATTCACGACTGCATTCACCCGGACGATCTTGCTGAACCTACTTATGAAATGATTAGTGGGTTCAAACCTTTCCCAGTTCAGGAATATTATCTTCCCTTGAAAGTTTTCGTCCGTACAAGACATCCCGCTAATATGTCGTTCCCGCATGGCGTGTGAGAGTATTGCCCACTAGACACTGGCTATCATCATAGTCGTCATCATCATCTTCGTCACCAACATCATCACCATCCTCATCATTAGTTTTACGTTGCACAAAAATGCTTTTGCTTATCGATCACAACTCATTTCAATATTTTACGTCTGCCCATGGCTAAATTTTCAATCCGATTATCTTATTAGCTTAAGTAACGCAAACCGAAACTAAAGCAGTTGTGTGAACTGACCAACAGATTCGTAAATTAAATAAACCTACAGTTCATGTGGCTCAATTAGATTGGTTACTCAATGCTACAGGCAGTTGTTACTGGTTGTAATACTGCGTACTTTAATCGTAAAGAAATACCACTACCGTTCGTTTTTAAACGGTACACAATTAACCTACCGTCGAGGCTGAACTCCCACCAACAAGAGAATTCGAAGAGCGATCCGTTTGTGTAAATTCCATTGTTCCACAGCGACTGCAACAATCAAGCCTCCCAAGAAGAGTACGTTTGTGTCCTTGAAGTAAGGAGTAGAGACTTGTTTGGATCCAAGGACACCAAATAACGGAAACAGAACCAGCGGAAGGAGAGCAGTGACAGCCAGCTCCACAACCTCGGTCACCCAGTATACCGCCATGATGAGTATACAGTATGCACATCGTGCTTCCTGAAACATTGATTAATTTATACACGTTGAAAAGTATCCGGACTTTTTTACTAGTAACGTTTCCTGGTTGAGAATTTTCGTCTGGGTACAGCTCTACATAACTGCTGACTAAGGTTACTGATAGTGTGTTCCGGGGAGTTAGGCGCCCCGGGGAACTCCCATAGGAAAGAGGCTTGGATGCAACGGGAGACCTATCTGGGCTTTGCTCGATCCGGCGATCGACTTTATTTGACTCCGGCCTAAAGAAGACCATAGTCAACGCAATATATAGGCATTTGATTGCTGAATTGTTTTATAGACATGTCTTTATGCACAACCCTTAGTGATATCTTTACAGGTGTAAATATCATTTTCCCGTCTTAAACAGGTAAAATAGAAATCTGCAATTTTTACCCCTGAGACAACGAACATCCCTGTCATCTTTACATGGGTGTCGTCCACCCCCCACCCCTCTCCTATCCCGGGTTGAGCTAGAGAACACCGAAAACGCTCGATCAGTTTTGAACATCCAAGGCTAATGCTGTGATTTGTGAGCTTCAATTTTGTTTGAATTCATGCGGCATCTGTCGAAGACGTCGAAAGAAGGCTTTCGTAAATTAAACAGAAAAAAATGCGTTACTAACAGCCGACTGTGATAATATAATATAATACAAGAGAAAGCATTATGACGTTTCCGTAAGAAGACATCACCTCGACACTTTAAATTAAGGAACAGAACTATTTCCGGCCTAACCTTAACCCGAACACGATCCACTCTGGTACGATTTTGCATTTTCTTTGTCACTATTCAGTACCATCTAGTTAGCGTGTATTTTTTAAAATAAGAAACTCCTGTACACTAACATATCAAAAAGCAAATTCTTCTTACCCTTCCAGGTACTGCGAAAGGAAGAGGCATGAGTAATATCGGCGTTAAAATCAATATTAGGTATCTTCTCCATATCACGATTCGCTTGCAAAGTGAAATATTATTTGCTTGCACTGGCTCATTGTTTGTCGCTTCTGACGATTGATTTTGTCCATCTGCTTCCAAGAGGCTGTTATATCCTATCTGTCGACGCTCAGACTCACTCATCTTTGAAATGAGGATTGTAGTATAGTTTAGTTAGTGTGTCCTGTAATACGACAGAGGAGAAAACTTAAATTTTGTTCAACATTTTGTACTCCATAAACAAAGATATCCAGCTGACTTGATGTTTTACTTGTTCAGTATTTTTTTTTTCACTTACACTTACTTAGAAAAAGCTGTGAATCCAACCATTCAGTCTAATTTCCAGCGAAAAATACAAATCGTGACCCCGACAGCGTAGTTATGAGTTGTTCTATTCTTTAGTCACACCTTCCATTGCCACCCATGTCACGCGTTCCTTGAAGTTTTCTCTTTTTTTTCGTGCAAACGTTACTCAATGGTGTTAAGCGATTGCTTCATGTATTGTTCTTTCTTACCTTGGCGTAAAATGCTGTTCGCACTTTTAAGTATGTAATGATACAATCCACAAGAGAAAGCAAAACTTAACCCCGGGGGGTACTCGCAGAAAAATTGGGTAGGGGTGCTTCCCAAAACCCTTACCCTATTTATGACCAAAATCTGCGATTTTCCCTACCCTATTTATGACCAAACCAAAAATTTGATACCCTATTGATGACCTGACCCTTAAATCAATACCCTGTTTCAGACCTGCCTTATGATTATTTCCCTAGTTCAGACCAATGTTAAAGGCAATGTTTATCTGCTTTTATTAGGTTAGGGGGACATGATAAGGAAGTAGCTTCTTCTAAAAAAGTGCATTCAAGACTACAGTGTAAAAATCGTTACCCTATTTATGACCAAAATGGCGGCAAAATAGCCAAAATCGATACCCAATTTATGACCAAAACGGCTGAAAAACCCTACCCTTAGGGGCCGCACATACCTATATAGCCCATATTAGGGAGTACCCCCCCCCCCCGGAACTTAACCTAGTTCACGTTTTCGTTTTTACTTATAGGCACCTCTTTACTGAACTCAGGGTGTTACTCTGAATTCCCCACCCCCTTCAATGTCCTTTTAAATAAGTAGATATGTGTGAATTGATACCGAAAAAGACACTGCGGTGCTCATCTGCGACCACCGCCCTTTTAAAAGTGCGACCATTAGCCTTAGCATTTTGGGTGGTCGCCTACAAATTACAGTATAACAACTTAAAGATTCATCAGCCAATCACAGGTCATATTTACAACAAAGGGTCGGATTTTGGTCTCTCATTGGCTAATCGTCAGTCGTTTTGCATGGTGTTTCATTATGTCGAAAACGCGTTTCTTCTATCCATACTGAAAATCGTACCGTATAGGGCCAGCCTCGTACCCAGGCCAGTTCGCGCTATCTGAGTTACAAGAGGAGGCTTGGAACCAAGCGCGATAGCGCGATGCGTCTCAGGCGAATTTTCGCGACAAGCTTGACTGGTGACGTCACATCCGAAATCGCCGAGGACGACTGGGAACGAGGCTGGGACGGGGCTTCAGTTCACACACAAGAACGGTTTAGCGGCGCGATTTCTGTGACTTGAGCGAAGCGTACACACACAAAACCTTCTATGATCATCTAATTCTCGGCTGCCGTTGCGATCGCTACTTTTGAGATATACGGCTGAAAATTTACAGGTTGCCTTATTTTAATATGCTTTTTCAGCTCCTGCTAACAAAACTTTTCGAATATGAACTGTTTTCGTGTTTACAGAACGTTGATCACGTGATCAACTAATGTAAAAGGCTTATTAGGGGCAGACAACGTTTCGCAACTAACTAAGATCTCGAATATGGGGATGAAGGTGTTTGCATGACTGCACGCACGTCTCACCACTTACACAAAAACCTCTTAATATATAGTTTGCAATTCCGCTTCCGGTCACTATTTGCACTGTTTTCATAGTATACTGAATATTAGCGTCTCAATAGGAGGTCAAGCAAATGATTAATTAAAAATTGACTAAAGTGAATTCGTATGATCTTTACTCTTCTAGACTATGTTATGAGAGACCATTTTGTCACTCTTTCCTTTTAAATATATGAATGAAATTCTGTGTTGTTGTCATTCAAATTCCTGAATTTAAACTTTATCCGTAGAACTTTTGACAGTTTTGCATAAGTGAGTCAGTACCTTACGGTGGCCCACAACTGTCACGGCAAAACCAAAAACCTCACGGCAAAAACAAAAACCTCACGGCAAAACCAAAAACCTCACGGCAAAAGCAACTACCCACGGCAAAACCAAAGCTGTTTTGTTGTTGCTCTGAAGTATTTGATTTTGCCGTGAGGTTTTTGGTTTTGCCGTGATGTTTTTGTTTTTGCCGTGAGGTTTTTGATTTTGCCGTGACAGTTGTGGGCCACCATAGTACCTTGCTCGATTCCAAGGATTTTTCTTGCGAAAAGAAATTTAAATTTTCTTCTGATTTGTTCGGCGACTATTGGCGAAGTGGAAGGCAAAACAGCAACAACACCTTTATCCCATCACTTCCCAACAAATTTTGTGGCATTAAAGAAAATAATATTTCTTTTTCTTAATACTTAAATGGAAATACGTAGAGTTTTGGGAGACGTATCGGTCAAGCCATGACATTATCTCTTTCATTACTCAGGGTTGACCGGGGGGGGGGGTAGTGGTATACCAGTATACCCGAAAAAAATTCGCCAAAATACCCAAAAATACCCAAAATTCATCCAAATATACCCAAAATTATACCCAGGTATACCTTATACCTGAAATTCAAGAAAGTGATATACCGAATACCCGTATTTAAGCTGCAATATACCGTATACTCGATTTAAAAAGCCCCTGTATACCGTATACCCAAAAACCCTGGCCGACCCTGATTACTGCCGCGGGCAGTTTCTTGGTAAGTGGCTTTCAGCGCATGTGGCCACCAAACGTCAGAAACGGTCATAACTTATCGTTACTCCCAGGTCGAAGAAGAGACCAGCGGAGAGATACGAGGTTGTTTGCCATTATTCCTGTTGGGATATAAATAATAAACGTTTTTTTGGTTCGTGCCACTGGATAATTCCTGGGACAAACGGAAATTTGAAAAGGTAGTCCCGTTTTCCCGGTTGGGAGGTTCCGAATGGAAATTCGTTTACCATTTACAAGTTTCTTGAGTTCTTACTAGTTTCATATTGTAACTAGAGTCCAGTCTAGCGCTCCACGACAATCCGGAAATTATAGGCAAATGGTAAACGGCACGTACCGTAATTTCCGGAATTTTTTTACAATACGTATCGCGTTCATTTACCAAAATGTCTTTCCCAATATTGCATCCTTATAATCCTTACGTCAGTTGTGATATTGTGCATTTCGTATTCTTTGCAAATTCTGATCAAGCAAGAATGAGCTATTGATTCATTTTCAAATCTTTTTGTTTATACAGTTTCGAGGTCTGTCTTCGACCCACCAGTTAAAAGGATATACACTTTTAAGAACAAGTAGGATATCTTTAGGCACGTACATGTCAAAATCACCAAATCGAGCCTTGGGCAATGACCCCTCTACAGCTCGCGAAGAGAAAGAGGAGTAAAGGTTGTAGTTTATAGGTGCCAGCCACGTCTCCCATCCTGTTCGTTTCATAGTACCCCTGTAGTCATAAAATATGAAGATATCAACCCAGCCGGAGGGACATATCTTTTGATTGAATATACCAACAATGCCATTTCGATCCAGACGCTCTTTTAACGTAAAACCCTTGTTTGTGAAAGCGGAGAGAAATTTCTCCCGAGACAGACTCTGATAGTGAACATCGTCTCCAGAGAGCCCCATGTCTACATCATCATCCCAAGGAAGTGGATTGTAGAGTTTTCTTTGAATACCCCAAAGTGATCCAAACATCAACCAGTGTTTAATTCCAAGTTCGTCAAGTACTTTATGCACCCCATGTGCTAAGTGCACTAGTTGTTGAATCTCCTTGGCGCTTTTTTCACAATTCACGGGTCTGTTGCCCGCTCTGGAAACCATACTGGGGGCTTGTAGGTTTCTATATGTATAATAAAATAATGTTAAGAAACCTAACAGCCATAATGATTTTCGAACAGTCAACTTCATGTTTTTAGATGAATAGAACTCCAGGACTGCTACGCCATTTTCACTGATTGTGAGGTAACGGATATAAATAATTCACAGTTTTCACTGGCTCACGACGCTCGTGCGTCGAGTCACGTCTGATCGCATGATTTTTTTTGTACGATTTTTCCGCCTTTGCTCGCTGTTGGCAAATCCCATTAGCCATTGCGAACCCTTGTACCACATGCGGTGTTCTCATTGGAGGCTGAAACTGCAGTTGAAATTGCCGGGAGATCAAGCCTTCAATATGTTTCGTCTAGCAAAGCATTTCGCCCCATGTAATGGAATCCAGAAAATCTTTTCTTGAGGAATCCAAGTTCCACTGACAGTTCCACAGTGCGGAGTCCACCGCGTGGAATCCAGAATCAGTCTTAGATCTCCTACATTGGGCGAAAGCGACATTGCTTGTGCTCAAAAATGCCCCCATCGGTGATCGGTGATACAAGCGATAGTATTCTACCCGGAGGGACCTATAATTTCATTGAATAAACCCACAAACGCCATTTCAGTCCAGACACTCGTTTAGTGTGAAATCTTTTGCTGTGAAGCTGTCACTAATATTTTTCTCTCTATACAGACTTACTTTATTTTTGTTGTTGTGATAATTACTGGCTTTCTGTTGTATGTCTAGCTGCAGCTGTAGTTTAAATCAACAGAGCCTTCTTTTTGTTTGACTGCATGGCTTTTGCGACCAATTAAACTTTTGCTGATTACTTCTACCTGTTTTGCACACATATCATCGGCTCCTATAAAAAGAGTCCACTGAAAAGGAAAACTAGCCAAGACAATTGTAAAGCACAATAATATAATAATTGTCACCGTTCTATGAATGTTCAATGAACGCCTGAGGAGAAGTATATTATCTGCTTCAAGATGACTGGTGCCCCAACTGTTTTATTCAACAAAAGGATATGCGAGGGATTTTTCGGACAAAATTGCGTCGTTTGGCAACGCCAATATAAAGTACAATTTTCGATCTGTAGTGTTAC